CTTCACCCCCTCCCCCTTTCCCTATTTACAAAGACTTTGTTTCCATTTTTTCCTTTGCTCATGTTTTTCTTTTCCTTTCCCCTACAGCATTTATAATTTTTAAAGCCCTGGATAGAGAGAGACAGAGCAGACACATTAGTTCTTTCTCAACTAAGGCTTTGGGGAAGAATTAAGCTCTCGGGGTTTAGTCATCTATTGTATATACTAAGCCAACTGCTCTCTTATGCATCTAGAGTGGTAGTTGCTATGTATAGTCTTTGGGAAAATTGATAAAAGAGTCACAAATCATTTTCTGTAGGGCTTAATTCTCCAACAGAACACTGACTGAAAAGGCTAAAGAATGTAAACCAACTGCAAAATGGTCATCAGCTTTTTGGGAAATTAATATCAGAATCGAACCATTTCAAGAAATGAATTCAGTTTTAGGTATTTACATTATCTACTCCATTTAGCACAAAGGAACTAATAACATTTTGTTTCCAAGTGAACTTCTGAGTCCAGGTTATAAGTAATAAACAGATTTCATTGTCACCAGTCATGAGGACAAAAGGGGATTGTTCTTAGAATTAGGCTTACTTTTTCCTACATCTTGTATATCTGCTAAGGATGGGCTTTTGGAAAATAGAATTATTTGAGCAGTTTGCAGATGGAAGACATCATATGACAGTACTGTCACTGAGCCCGTGCCAGCCTCCGTAGCCTGTGATCTTCTTCGTAACCCTGGCAGGTATTCTGGGCAGCCGTGGGCATTGTCAGCAGCCAGTGTGGCAGTGTGTGCTCGCCTACACTGCTCACTCGCAGTTGTGCTTCCCGTTCACGCCTGCACCCAGTCATTGGCAACCGCTGATGTTTTCAATGTGCTTGCAATCTTTTCCCCCTTCCCTCCCCGTGCTTGGTGCTATTGGGATGTCTGTGTATCTTTGATGGGAGGTCCATTTCCAAGTAGGGAAAAGGCAATATAAGTTTGGTTCTTAGAAAATGTACTTAGAATTCCTTTAGGAGAAAGCAAGGTTCAGGGTCAAACATATATAAACCAGTGATGGCGAACCTTTTAGAGCTTCCAATGATAACAGACAGTTAGCTGCAGCACACATGTCACCACTGGTATAAACAGAGTCTACTGGCAACATAGAACATATAGTCACCTTAGTTACACCTGCTCTGGGAATTTACCATTGAGTTAATTCAGGAATACTGATACTAAAACATTCTGTCTTTTTCTCAAGTGGCCCAGATTTATGGTGGTGTGTGCACATGGACTCTCACCCCACCATTTATGCCCAACGATAAAGAAATAAGGGTGAGCTCAGTCTGACTAAATTAACGTAGGATTTTTTGTGAAAGAGAATGTCTTCTATTCTCTTTCTTCAGAGTTGTCTGCAGGGGCCACTTGCAGGTCTTTTAAATGCCATTAGTGCTCACATAGAAAAGGCATTCCAGTCAATAAGATTTGTAGAAGAAATGTTTATTAAAATGTTTTCAAATAGATGGAGCACACATGTTTGAGAAAGTCCAACTCCCTGCTTTTATTCAAGTTATAAAATGGGAATTATTTCAGGTGTAAATGATTCATTCCAACAAATTTGTTTCATTTGGTGTGTGTCTCCCTGCATGCCCACGAATATGAGGTTTTATTTTTGAAGCCTTGTAATGTTAACTCTTTTTAGTTTAGCATTTCTCATGAATCAGAGGCTTGACCTGCAAAGAAGGGTCCAGATGTGTAAGTCCCTTTTCACTGAACTGTTTGTACTTTTCTTTATAGACAGTCTTCCAAACAGAAGAAGGCCATCCAAACTGCTATCCGCAAAAATAAAGAGGCAAATGCAGTGCTGGCCCGATTGAATAGTGAACTGCAACAGCAGCTTAAGGTGAGAAGTGCTGCCGCGATTTGGCCTGCCAGGCTTTTTTGTTTTGACCCTTGCCTGCCCATCCCTACTGGTAAGACTTGATTTTGTTCTCAAACCCCTTTTGGAAGGTAGAAAATTAACTTCATTTAATGTCCCCTGGTTGGTTCTTGCACACCTAAAGGAAGGCTGGTAACTTTAATATGTAGGCTGCTTATTGTGTGTGAGTTAAAGGGACGAGAATCTCTTACAGAGTCTGTTTGAAGCATTCCTTTTGTTCAGAGCTTCCTAGTAAACATTTTAATTGCTTCAGTCCTCTCTGAAAGATGCTCGATTTATTTCTGTGGAAGGAGGTGGCCCGGGTACTGTCTAAAGGTACTACCCCCCTAGTACCATCTCACTTTCTCAAGGACACCATCCCTGTTCTTGTAATCTGTTTCTCTTCATCATTAATCTCTCCTATATTCATTTCCCAGGGCTGTCACAGCCAAGTAGCACAGATTTAGTGTCTTAAGACAAACGAAATGTGTTTTCTCACAGCTCTGGAAGCTAGAAGTGTGAAATCAGGTGTTGGCAGAGCCAGGCTCTCTTTGAAGGCTCTAACGTAGAATCCTTCCCTACCTCTGCCCAGCTCTGGCAGTTTCTGGTGAGCCTGGGACACAGCACTTTTCAATTCTACCTCCACCTCCTTCATGTAATTCTGCATGATGTTCTTCCTGCACCTGTCTGTATCTGTGTCCAAATTTCTTTTCTTATTGTACCCTTCTTACAAGGTCACCAGTTATTGGATTTGGGCCCATCCTAGTCCAGCATGACCTCATTTTAACTTGATCATATCTATAAAGATCCTGTTTGCATATAAGGTCACATGTACAGTTACCGGGGATTAGGGCTTGAACATAACTTTTGGTGGGCAGGGTTCTCTTCTGGGTCATTACCTATTCACACATAAACACACTCTCGTAAATTATCCCTTGCCCTTGACTATTGTATCCCCTTTGCTCTGGTCCCCTTCACAGCAAAATTTCTAAAGAATTCTTTTCATTCACTGTCTTTACTTCCTCATCAGTGGTTTTCTGTCGCTCCACTTCAGTGTGGCTTTTGCTCTTCTCCACTTACACCCTGCTCATGGCCAAATCCAGTGGATTTGTTTTAAAGTTATTTCAATTTTCAAAAGAATCTATATAACTGACAGTTCCCTCCTCTGAAATCACTTTTATAATTGGCTTTTCTGGTCTTCCTTCTACATCACTGGCGTTTCCTCCTTAATATTCTGTGTTGTTTCTTCCCTCTCTTTTATAGATGTCCCTCATTACCAAAATATTTTATTGTGAAAAAGTTCAAATGTACAGGAAAGCTGAATCCTACAGTGAATACTTATATAGCCACTACTTCGGTCCTACTACTAATGCTTTACTCTATTCTGCTTATACTTATTTACCTATTTATGTCTCTCCTGTCCATTGGTTCATTTTATTTTTGATAGATTCATGTCAATTTCACAATCTATATACTTCCCTAGATATTTCAGCATGCATATCATTAACTTGAATTCAGAATGTCCTACACACTTTTCTTAGATGGAAAATTTACAATACAATGGATCCACAAATCTTAGGTGAACACTCGCCTAGTTTGTAACAAATGTATATACTTATGGAACTCAAACCCCAATCAAGTTAGAGAATATTGCCATCACTCTAGGGTGCATCCTCCTGTTCCTTCACAGCCAGTTCTTACCCTATCCTCAACAGAGGCCATCATTATTCTGAATGTTTTATACCAGAGTTTCACCTGTTCTGTGACTATGCACATGGTATCCTACAACAGATACTTTTGTGTAAAGCTTCTTTCACTTAGGATTACATGTTTGAGGTTTGTTGTATATTTCAGTAGTTCCTTCCTTTTGTTTTTGTCTGAGTAGTATTTTGTTGAGTGAATGGGCCACGATTTCCTTATCAGTTCTGGTGATAGACTACTCAGCTGTTTTAAGTGTCAGGCAATTTTGAATAAAACTGCATTCTTGAGCAAAATTTTGTGTGAAAATATGTTATCATTTAAGAGTTGGGATTAGTAGGTAATATGGTAAGTGTATGTGATTGGTTTTATTAGAAAACATTAAACCTTTTTCTAACATGCTTGTAGCATTTTATACTCCCATCACTCATGTATGAATGTTCCATTCGTTCTACATCTTTGCCAGCATTGGATGTTATTCTTTTTAACTTTGGCCGATCTTGTGGTGATATAGTTTTATTGTCATATCCTTGATAATTAAGTATGTTGATCTTTTTTTATGTGATTATCTTGCATATATTCCTTTTTTTTTTAGATTGAACTTGAGTCCTTGCGCTTGCGAGGCAGGCACTAGAACCACCGAGCTAAATCCCCAGCCCCTTTCATAAATTCTTATTTTATAAAGTATCTTTTCAAATGCTTTGGCCAGTTTTTGAATTGAGTCTCCGGCCTTTGTTTGGTTTTGAGTTATAGGTAGATGCTTTTTACATATCTTGTTACCAGCCATCTATCAGGTGTTTGGTGAATATTTTCTTAGTCTTTGTTTTGCCTATTCCTTTGGTGGTGCATGCATATAATCCCAGCACTCTGGGAGACTGAGGCAAGAGGATCGTGAGTTTGAGCCTAGTCTGGGCAGTTTAGTGACTTAGTGAGACCCTGCCTCAAAATAAAAAATAAAACAAAGGACCAGGCATCTGGCTTAGCTGGGTTCAATTCCCAGTATAATAAAAAAATTAATCTAGCATCATTTGTTGAAAATATTTTCCTTTCCCCTTTGGAATACTTTGATGCCTTTGTCAAAAATCTAATGACTGTAGTAAAAGTTAACTTCTGAGTTCTTAAGTCTATTCAATGAATCTATTTGTTGACCGTTATGTGAGTACCACACAGCCTTGGTTACTGTTGAGCTATACTAAGTCTTGAAATCAGGTAATACATACTTTTCAACCTATTATGGTTAAAAACTTCATAGTATACATTATGCTCTTATTTCATATAAATTTAAATTTTTTTGTTTCAGTTTCTACAAAATAGAAACTGCTTGGCGTATGACTGAATTTATATTGAATCTATAGATAAATTCAGGGAGAATCAATATCTAAATAATGTTTAGTTTGCTAACTTGAAAGCAAGTAATCTCTACGAATGTTTAGGTCTCCTAAAATTTCTCTGAGGAGATCTGATTTTTGAGTATGTAAGTCTTACATGTCTTTTATCAAATTTATTTCCAAATTTTTGTGATACTATTGCAAGTTGGATTGTTTTTTAAAATTTCCTTTTCTAATTGAGTTGATGAAGATTGCAGAATATAAGATCACACAAAAGTCATGCATATTCCTGTATATAAACCATGAACAGTCGGTAGTGGAAATTTTTAAAAAGTACAATTTCACAATAGCTTGCTTCCTCCTGTATATGAAATACTTTAGTAAAAATCTATCGAAACACATGCAGAATTTATTTGCTGAAAGTTGTAAAATGCTGCTAAAGGAAATCTAAGAAGACCTAAATGAATGTAGAGACATTCTTTGTGGATTTGGAAATTCAACATAGTAGAGATGCCATCATTTTCCCAAGTGATGCTTAGATTCATTATAATACCAATTAAGATCCCAGCAGGATTTTTTGTGAATATAAATAAGCTGATCCAAAAATTTATATGTAAGGGCCGAAGAACTGAAATCACTAAAATAAATTTGGAAAAGGAGAACAAAATTAGAGAAATCACTGTCAAACTTCAGTAATCAAGACAGTATGGTAGAGGGATTGGTGTCCAGATCAATGAAACAGGATGTAGTCCTGAAATTGATGACATAAATACTGCTGTTTGATCTCTGACAAAGATCCAAAATCAATTGAGCAATAAAAACTGTCTTTCAGCAATGTTTTGTAGCAATTGGTCATCTGTATTTTTAAAAAACCCTTTATCTGAGTCTCACCTCATATTCCACAAAGAACAGCTTAAAATGGATCATAGACATAAATGTAAAACATAAAGCTATAAAATAGAAGAAAACAGAGGGAAAAAAGTGTTCATGACCTGAGGTTAGAAATGCCACCAAAAGCATAATCTATAAGAAAAACCCTCGATAAACTGAATTGCATCAAAATTAAGATTTTTTGCTATGCCAAAGACATTGTTGACAATTAAGAGACAAGCTACAGACGTGGAAAAAATGTTTACAAACTACACATTTGACAAAATAACGTATATTCTGATTATACAAAGAACTCTCAAAGCCTAAACATCTCAATTTAAAAATAGGCAAAATACTGGAACAGGCACTTTACCAAAGAAGAGATAAGGGTGGCAGATAAAATAGCAGAATATATTCACCAACATTAGCGACTAGGGAAATGCAAATTTAAACCATGATTCCATACTGCGACACACGTATTATAATTGCTGAAACAAAAAATTGTGACACCACTAAGTGATGGCAACTGGAACTCCCATGCATTGATGGTGGGAATTCAAAGTGGTACCTTCCCTCTGGAAAATAATTCAGGAGTTTCCTATGAAGTTATATGTGCACTTACCATGTGCCTCAGCAGCCCCAATCCCAGGTGTCCACCTTAGTGAAGTAAAAACTTATGTTCACTCAAAAACCTATACATAAATGTTCATGGCAGTTTTATTTGTGATAGCCCAAATCAAGGAACAACTCAAATGTCCTTCAGTGGGTGAATTGAATAACTAGGGTACTATCATACAAGAAAGGGTACATACAAAAGCTCGGGTAAAACTCAAATTCTGCTAAGTGAGATGAGTGGATGTCAGAAGGACATGGACTGTATGATTCCTTTTATTTGACATTATTGAAAAAGCAAAAGTATAATGATGGAAAACATTTTAAGTTATCAGGGGTTATGTGTAAAGTGAGAGTTTATTTAGAAATGAGTAACACCAGGGAGCTTTTTGGGCAGATGGCACTATAATGTATCTTGTTGGGAGGTTACACAGGTCTGTACATGTGCTAACATTCATAGAACTACACACTGAAAGG